TCCTGAATAATGGCAAACTCTCAACCCCTATTACATGAAATTATTTATTATTAATTGAAATTCACTGTGCCAAAAGATCTATATTTTATTACATTACAATAAAACAGAAGTGCTAAATAACTGTATCCCTAGGTTACTTTAAGAACAACTGCATTTTCCAAGTTCCTAACACTTTGGAGCATATTTTTTGGTTAATATTCTATTTGATAAAGTAATGTTAATAGTAATAATAGTTATGATAGAATACAGTGAAATGGTATATTCTGGTTTAGGATACACAGTTGGTAGATGAAATCAGGTGACCTGTACAGGGTTGCTGTGGAATGTTTTCCTAGAACAGGGGTGTCCAACCTTTTTGAATGTGGAGCTGGGTCACGAGTTTTTTATCACCCAGTGGGCTGGCGAGACCTATTCAGAGACCTCACAGGAAGCGGTATTGCATCAGGAAGTGGTCACGTGACCTTTGACACCAATGAAGTTGCAGGAAGTGACAATGAAATGGGCCTGGAAATGTGGTTTAAAATCCAAAATAAAAACAATATAAAAGTAACAATGAAATAATACCAAACACTTGACTAAAATAAACACTGTCGCATAATGAAAGAAGCATAATGCAAGTTGACAGATCAAATGTGGAAAAGATATCAGCCAGAGTGGAAGCTAATCAAAGGTGGAGGGATGTGTCTCAGTGGGAGCCACCTACGTTGCGCTTTGCAGCTGCTCACTGCCTTGCAAGGGGCAGGCGGGAGGGGAGGGATGAGGGGGCGGCGACTCAGTGCATCTGAGAGGCTGCAAGAGAGAGACTCAGATCAGCTGGGCACAGCTGCAGCTGTAGCCGGGCACGGCGTGGAGTGGGGAGAGCTGCTGCCACGCGTGGGAGCCCCAGTCCAGGGTCCTCCTTGTCCTCCCGGCTATAGCCTCCCTGGGATGTGCGGGGAAAGGCACCCTCCACTCCACCGCTGCCCACCTCGCTGCTCCGGTGGCTGCATGTGCCCGCGCTGCCTCCCGCCCCAGCAGCACACGAGAAGCGGCCCCCTCGGGACTCGGGGCCTCGCACGCAGGCAGCCAGGCCCAGAGAGCCACAGTGCCCGGGGGGAGACTGGCTGGGGGAGCAGGCGCTGCCTTGCTGTGGGGCAGGGCAAGGGAAGGCAGAGTGGCTGGCTTGAAGAGGGCAGATGAGGAGGCAGATGCAGGCTGGCAGTGCCAGCGGCCGCTGCTTGGCTTCCTGCGTGGGGCCGCTCCGGCAGGGCACAGGCACGGGCACGTGTCGGGACAGGGAGGTGGGGGCAGGAGCATGGGCGCTCCCGGATGCGCATCCTCCCTGCCAGTGACCGGCATGTCCCGGGCCTGCGAGTGGAGCCGCTCCTCTGCCACCCGGAGGCAAAGTTCTCACATGAAGGCTCCGTCCTGCACCTGGCCTGAGCCCACGGCATCGGCTGCGGCCACCCGGGTGGGCAGGGCCACTTAGCAGCCGCAGCCAGCGCCGTCCCCGGCCGGGGAGGGGTCGGGCCCGGGGGGGGACGGGACCTGGCTGGGCTGTGCTGTGCTTGCACGGTGTGTATGGGAACCTTGTCCCTTGCCCAGCCCTTCAGCAGCCATTAGGAAGCTGCTGAGGGGCTAGGGGAGGGACAAGGGGTTTCCCGTCACAGCAGCGCAAGCCACAGAAAATGCCTTGGTGGGCTGCATGTTGGACAAGCCTGTACTAGAACCTCTCTAAATATTTGTATCCATTCTATGTATTTCTATTAAACCATGGTGGAGGCACTCCTGCATCTAACATACATGTTTACGCATGAGAGTGCCTCATCAACCTGTTAGCTTGTTGACTGTACTCATCTTAAATTTGCACAGTGGAAGTTTTCTCACAGACAGGGCAATTTTCATTCGGGAAAGGAAGTTATTAGGCTTGTGCAATATAATAGGACACTGGAAGCATTTAGCTTTCTCATTAATTCCTGGTGAGTGTTTTCAAATTAAGCATATCCCCACACTATGATGGTAATGGCTGGATATTTACTTAACTTTCTATGATAGTGTTTGAACCTTGACAGGAGGTCCTGTACAAATGTTAATGCTAAATTTCAAGAGCACATTTCTTATGAATGGTCTCTAGGAAGATGGACATGGTGATATATGTTGGTTTAAATCCACAGTCAAGCAAAGCAGTCAGCGAAGCAGTTGTAGTTGAATATAGTGGATCGTGTACAACCTTTTCCACCATCTTTTATGATGTCATTGTTTCTAAGAGTGGTCAATTGCCTGAAAGGTGGGTTTTGAGAGGGGCTACCTCCCTTTCCTCATTTTTTCTCACTCCCCTGTTCCTCATTCAGCACTGGATTCTGGTGACTAGTGATAGCAAGTGCTGAAATATGTTTCCTTTTTTATTTTAATTTATTGTAATCTACTTCCCAATATCTTTTATTCCAGTTTGGATTTTTTGCTCCATCCAGACTATGCAAAAAGATTACAACATCTGTTATTGTTGATGATTATGATGCTTGATGTAATTTAGGCAGTTGTTCCTAGCACTCTGTCATAGATAAGAACTTAATTGGTAGCTGTTGGGTGTATCTAAATGTGAGCTTTAATGTACATTAGCTTATTTTAATGTGCATTAAAGCTTCACTGAAAAAAGTGCTCTTTAGTTAATGTGCATTAAGGCAGGCTAATGCACATTTTTCTAGTATATCACAATGGAGGGCATTTACACACATGCTCCAGGAGTGTGTGTGTGTGTGGGGGGGGTGCTCTAATTAGAGCAGCTCTAATTAAAGAGCCCATTTTTATCTATCAGCATCCCCATGCTTCAAAATGGCAGTGGGGGTGCTTTACTTAAAGCAGGGGTGTCCAACCTTTTTGAATGTGGGGTTGGATCACGAACTTCTTATCGCCCAGTGGGCCAGCGAGCCATGTTCAAAGACGTCATAGGAAGTAACATCACATCAGGAAGTGATGTCACGTGACCTTTGACACCAATGAAGTTGCAGGAAGTGACAATGCAATGGGTCTGCTCCGCACGGGAACTTACCCCATGTCTCCATCTGTCCTGGCCCAGCCCTGAGGCATCCCCAGCTCTGCACAGGAACTTACCCCATGCCTCTGTCCACCCCAGCTGGCCCTGAGGCACCCCCAGTTCTGCACGGGAACTTACCTCGTGCCTCTGTCCACCACGCGTACGGGCAGGGCGCAGGCCATGCTGCAGCTTCCCCTGGCCACGTGCTGGGGGCAAGGGGCAGAGCCCGTCCCCAGCTCCTCCAGTCAGTTGTGGCTGGGGCAGCTGCGGCAGGACCCAGCTCAGTGATGAGCTGGGCCCCGCGGGGGTAAGCAGTTCCCCTCCCCTTGCTGCTGGCTGGGTCCCACGGGCCAGCCCTGCCCGTCTTGCCGCTGCTCCGCTGCTGCTGCCGCGGTGGCTCCGCCAGAGCTGCCACTGCGACTCCACGCTCCACGGCAGGCCTGCCGCCGCTGTGGCTCTGCGGCGGGGCTGCAGCTCTGTGTTCTGCTGCTGCTGCGGCTCTGCACTCTGCAGCGGCAGCAGTGCTGCCGCCGCCACAGGCCAGATAAAATGGCTTGGTGGGCCGCATGTTGGACAAGCCTGACCTAAAGCTTATCAAACGAGATACGCGAGATGTGGGAGGCTAATGGAGCACAGTAATTGCCACACTCCAGCAGACTTTTTGCACATGTATAGGCACCTCAGTGTACTAGATTTAAGGTTTGTGAACTAAAGTGTGTTGATGCACTTGTAGATCCACCCACTATATAGAATAAAAAAGTGATCCTTTCAGTGCTTCCTTGTGACCACACACAATGCTCTGGTTTTGCCAGTAGGAAAGCAAGTTGGAAATTAGAAAGTAGTTTTATGAAAAATTCTAAAGATATTAAAAATTGATTGAAACATGTTCATAGTTTTCTTTTCATTTTTGTGAAACATTTGAAAAAAAACTTAAAAAAAAAAATAGGTCTAATTAGATGCTGTTTTAGAACTAACTGTTGTCCTATGTGCCTGGTGGTTGAGAGAGACAAGGAATGCAACCTAGTAATGCTACCGAAGTTTGAATGAGTTTTGAGTGTTTTAGAAATGTCTTCGGGCATAGTATAGGAAACTCCTTCAGTTCCCTGTGAAGGGGAAGCAGAAGAGAGAGGCATGGAGAATTCTGCATGACCATTGAAGAGGTGAAGGAGGTGGAGTAGATACTTGCCCCACCTCTCTGCACTCTGGTAGGAGCTGGTAGTGTTGTGGCTCCTGTCTTAAGAGCATGGGCTCGCTGTATACTAGCTGCAGCAGCACCACAGCACCAGCTCTCCAGGGCCTCCCTTTAATACCCCTTTCACTTCTCCCCTGGCCCTTCTCCCTCCACTCCCCCTCCAGCTCCATATGCTACCTGCCCAGCTCTTATGGCCAAGCAGTACGGGACTGGCAAAGACTCCTTGAGAGGGGAAGTGTGTGCCATTCTGGCACCTGGCTTACAGGTGCACCTCAGCTGAAGAGGATTCATGCATGCATCTTCAGGAGAGTGCCCTAACCACCAGGTTAGAGAATACTCCAGGTGGGGCCTCCAAGCACATACCCCCACATTGCAACTGAATGATTGGACAGGTACCAGTGCATGATTCATTAGGCAAGCAAGCAGGAATCTAACTCTGTATGTCCTGATATTTAAGGCTTTCCACTGGGAGGAGGGAGTCTTGTGCTCCAGTCCCTGATTCTGGGGGCTGTTCATTTGTTTTCCATTATACAGTCATTGATTACAAAATAGGGATCAGGATTGATCCCTTTATCAATCCCTTGATCCCTTGATCAATCCATTGATTACAGAATCCTGGGAGCAGGACCTGGACCTTTGTGTCTCACCTCATCCCTGGGAGTTTCCCCAGGGATGGGCTATGGAGTTATGCAGCCTT